TTTGAGAATGTATGTGTGTTGGGAAGCTAGCAAGCAAGGATTCAAGCACTGTAGAATAATAATAGGTGTAGATGGTTGTCACCTTAGAACTGAAACTGGTGGGATGCTACTAACAGCTGTTAGTATTGATGGCAATGATAGTATATTTCCACTTGCATATGCTATTGTGGAAGGGGAGAAAAAGGAATCTTGGACATAGTTTCTAGAACTTCTGAAGACAGATTTGGAAATAACTAAGAGTGTTGAAGATGAATACTGCTTCATTAGTGATAAACAGAAGGGATTGATTCCTGCCTTTGAGAGTGAGCTACCTGGTGTGGAGAATAGATTCTGTGTGAGACACCTTCATGCAAATATGAAGGTGGCAGGTTTCCAAGGGAAGGCACTTAAGGACTGTCTGTGGGCTTGTGCTAGGGCAACCACTTTGAATGCATTCAATGTTGAATTAAGTAAACTTAGGGGCTTAGATGAAGATGCATACCAATGGCTTGGTGATAAGAATCCAACAGAGTGGTCTAGATCTCACTTCTCTACACACTCTCACTGTGACATGTTGGTAAATAACATCTGTGAGTCATGGAATGGATCTATAAGGGATGCAAGGCACAAACCAATTATAGAATGTCTTGAAATTCTTAGGAAAATGTTGATGGGTAAATTCTTTGAGAAAAAACAAAAAGCAGCAGAGTGGAAATCTTTGATATGTCCTGCAATTGTGAGAAAATTGAAGAAAATTGAGAAGGGTGCAGCAAAATACCTGGCAACACAATGTGATTTCTTCAAGTTTGAAGTTGGCCATTTATATGGGGATCAACAAGAGGTTGATCTGGAGGTGAAAAAATGTTCTTGTAGGGTGTGGGACCTAATTGGCATTCCATGCAAACATGCCATTTGTGCTATATGGAAAAAGTATGGAAAGGGTGCAGTTACTGACTTTGTCCTGCTACTCCAAAGAGACATACTTGAAGGTATATGCTGGTTGTATCAACCCTATGACAGGTCCATATGAGTGGCCACAATGTGACAGAACCCCACCATTGCCTCCTTTGTATTCTGCCAAGGTATATATGCATTGCCTAGTCATTAATGATTGACCTATCTATGAACTTTTATTTGACTAAATTGCTATGCAGGTTGGGAGGCCAAAAAAGCTAAGGGCAAAGTCAGCTGGTGAATTGACACAAGATGGAAAGTATGTGTCCAGACAACACATTCAACTACATTGTGGACTGTGCAAGCAATCTGGCCACAATGCAAGGAAATGTCCAACAAATCCAAATCAAAAGCTTTACTTTTTGGCCTCCCATAACATATTCAACTACATTTATTTTTTTTGTATTAAGCCTAAGTTAACTTCTCATGTTCTTTGTTTTGTCCCAGTTGAAGCCAAAAAAAAAGAGTAATTTATACTACCAGACAAATCCCCATCCACTTGCCTTCAGGGCACAACCAGCCTCATGAGGAACAAGCTGTCTCTGGCCAGCACCAACCTGAGAAAGAAGACCACCTTACCTCTGGAGACCAGCAGCAGCAGGAGCAAGATGACCATGATGACCTACCAGCAGCAGCACAGCAGCAAGATGACCAGGACCAAATCCAATCCAAGGACAACAAGGGCAAAAGGAAAGTGAGGCCATCCAATAGGAAAAAAATCTTATTATACCAGGAGAAAAACCACCTTCAAGTCCAAGTTCTTTGGAAATAAGGGTGAACCAATTAACCGTGAGTGATTGCAAATTAGGTGCTTGTTTGGTTGGCTTATGACTCTGTTTTGATAACCTGATGGCGAGGTTAAGGTCTGAATGTTTGCTTAGATGTTTTGTATCAAACAGTCCAGTTAGTATCTTTTTGGTTGCCTTAGATGTTTTGTATCAAACTATTAAAAGTACAATGTTTTTTGTGAATGGTAATGCAACAGGTTTCTTTCATGATTTTGTCAAAGTTCCATTACTATATATTGTGTACAAACTGACCAAATCATTTTTTTTTTAAAGAAGGAACTATTATTAAAAACCAAAACAACGTCTTGCCAAGGCCCAAAAAGTGATCAAGGCTACAAAGAGATAAAAGAATAAAGCAAAGAGGCCTAAGGCTAACTAATAAAGGAAATAAACTCTAAACCACCAAGTGGGCCCAACACCCATTCTACAAACCACTTGTACCACATGCAAAGCTAGACAATTCCTGGGCGTCATGCCCTACACCAAGGGTGGGAACGGTGCTCCAAAGCCAAAGAAGGACTAGTTTCACCCTCAAGCGTCAGGTTGATCCCCCGCGGTACAGAGCTCTGCATTTTTATCCGAGGGGACCTATGTGACCATCCACAGAAGCAATGAAACCAGCCTCCCGAAACCCTACCACTCTCATGCGTTGGACAGATCCCCTCAGGTATAGATCTCTGCATTTTTATCCGGGGGGACCGTGAATAGTCCGCCACATGAGCAATGGTTCTCACCTCCACCCACCCTTGGAACCCAGGCCACCCTCGTACGTACAGAGCTTTGCAGTTTATCTCAGAGGGCTTCAACGGCCCAAAGTCCTAAGCGATGGCTCCCTAACCACTGATGCTAACATATATACCACCCTTAAGCGTTAGACCAGCTCCCTCGGTACAGCGTACTGTATTTTAGCCCGGGGAACCTATATGGCCATCCACAGAAGCAATAGTATATATGCTAACAAATCCATGTAATTCCTGGCCCCGGAGAAATGGGACCAATTGAGTGCGCCAGAACAAGAAGTTGCGGAATGTAAGTTTAATCGACACAAAGTGATGTGCCGATGACAAGGGATTCGAAGTGGTGGTGGAACTCGGGTTGGAGGTGGTGATGGTTCTTTCCGACGAATTTGTCGACATTTTTTTGGGTGAGGATAGAGAAAATAAGAGGATCGAACGTAAGGCGTAACTGATACCAGATGAGAAGAGTAATTCAAAATTCAATTAATCAGATAACTATTACAATATTAAAAGAGGTGTAAACAACGTAAACCTCTCCTATCTATTAGGCTTGACTAAACCACTAAACTAGAACCATACAAATAATAACATTATTAAATGACTAATAACATAACATTATTAACAACACCCACCCAACCCTTTATATAACAACCAGCCTTTTCTTCCAATCACCAACTCAAGAAAGTAGACTAAGAGAGCACTCCCACCTCAGAGTGTATGCTATGCATGAAACACAAGAATCAAATCCCGCGAAACACACAGCCACAGATAGAAGTAGGACAGGCATAGAGAGCACAGAGCAGAAAGAAACCCCCTACGCCCTATGCCAGCAAGATCAATTACTCAACTAGCCCAGCAGAAAACAATAAAACATGACCAATTCATTCATTACCAAAACCAACCATATATATCCAATTCATTCATTACCAACACCAAACCTGGAATTCATACATTACCAAAACATATATATCCAATACATTCATTACCAAAACCAAACCTGGAATTCATACATTACCAAAACATATATATCCAAAACCAAGCCTAATTCATTCATTACCAAAACCAATCATAATTCATACATTACCAGAAGGTTACCATAATGCATACATTACCAAAACATACCAAACTACACACATTACAGAAAATCATAACTTGGAAAGTTCATTACCAAACCCTACAACCAACTACTGCTACAAATATTACAATCAAGACTACTAGAATCTTGTTCATCGACTTCAAACCTTGTTCACTTCTCAGTTTCAAATTTAATTTTCGTATCTCTTCATCTTGTCGGTTGATGCGTTTTAGCAATCCTGGAATTATTCGCTTTGAACGATAGCACATTGGAGTATTATACCAATAAATAAAGCCACATCCCATCTTCCTCTGCAATAATAAAAAAAAAATGCAAAAAAATTAGGTTTTAAACTAATTTCTAAAACAGAAAATATCTACGAATTTGATGTTCATAAATTAGGTTTGAAACTAATTTAAAAAAAAAAAAACCTACGAAATTGATGTTTTGAAACTAATTTCTTTAAAAAAAAAAAAAAGAACAAAAATTAATTTACATTACCACCCAAGCATTGTCAAAATCTACGATCTGGGTTCTCAGCTGTCTAAGAAGTGCGTATTTTCAGTTGCTCACCACATCTACAATGGACAATTGGAAACCTTTCTCCAAATTCATAGAACTCACTAGCATGATTAGAAAAAGAAGAGGAATACGAATTAGTCATTGCTAGCCAAACGGAAGAGGTCGAGAAGCAGTCGAGACGCCATCGAGGAAGCCGGTCGGAACTTCTCGCCAAATGAAATTGCAGCGGTCAAGTGAATCTCGCCAAAGTTAGGTGGACGATTTGCCGTTTATTAGCCCAACAAGAGTTTTCCCCCAAATAAATACACTTACAATGATCTTTTTGCCCTCATCACAAATTAATTCGAAACATTAAATGTTTTTCCGGCCAAAATTGGCCGACAATTTGACTATATATATATATAAATATATATAATATTAATAGAGATTACATGTAATTTAATTCAACATTTTTATATTTTATCATAAATATTTTTTGTCGGGAAAGTTTTAAAATTTGTACCCCAAGTTTAAGATATTCATGAATCCACCCCTGCTCTCGGGGCACTACACCCCTCTCTCTTTCTCTCTCGCCGCCCCTCTTCTCCTTCACGCAGCCACGCCGCACCCTCTTTCTCTTTCTCTCCGCCATACCCTCCTCCCTTCTCCATGAAGGCGGCGCGTTGAACAGAGGCATTGCACGGTTGACGGTGTCGGCGTATTTTCTCTTCTCCATCTCTCTCGAAACTTGACATTTGGCGGCGACATCTCTTTCAGGTCTGTATCTAACTTTTTCAAAAATATTTGTTAGAATTGGGTATAGAATGGAATTCTGCAATTTCTGATGTATTTTAGCTCATTTTACATATCTTTGATTAGTACATGCTTTTAGTAAAGGAATCATATGTATGTTTTTTTTTTTTTTTTTTTTTTTTTTTTTTTGCTACATATATAATACAATATTGATTAGAGGGAAAGCAACCAAGCCAATCGTCTATCTTCGGGCATTGCAATAAAACCATTTCGGTGAGCTTCAGACGTGGCAAGTTTTTCAAAAGCATGATTATAAGCTTCTGAGCTAAGAGTTGAGAATGTGTTTAGAATTTGCACACTTCTCGTCATACTATCAACATGGGTCATTCCCGTACTCATTTCACTCGCAGATTCTTCTCGGTGTTGCCTATGTTGTTGCCTAAGTTTCTTTTCCTTTCGCTCCTCTCTCCTGTCATGCAAATCTTCAGACATTATACTGTTGTACGACACAAATGCAGAAGCAAGTTCATTTCTCCAATTCTTGTTAACACTCATTTTACCACTACCAGTCATCTCATCTGCACTTCGTTTGCCCTTAGAACTATTCCCACAACTTCTAGGTAAGTTGTCTGTATCAGTCATTATAAAGTTATCTTCATTTTGCCTTTCTTCATTGGAGTTCACTGGTTGTTGCGTTGAAGGGTTCGCAAGGCCTCCAGTAGCATAGTTGTTGCCAAAAATAAGACAATACATCTCATAATGTTTGCAACCTTGTTTGTATAGAGTTCTGAATATCTTGTTTTTCTACACAATAAAATAAGCATCATCAGTGTCATCTTTATTATATTAGTGCACTATATTATATAAAAGTATAATTCATACCTTGAAGAAACTCTCCCAAACTTCATCATCTGCTATAGCCTTATTTGTTTCAGCATTGAATGTTACCCCAGTGTGGTTTAACACCTCTAAGAACCGCTTGTGTAAATCCTTGCATCTGTTATACTTTCCACACAACTGACCACCAGTATAAGCACATCCTGTTTTCTCTTTAAGTTCTTGACTCATTTCATTCCAGGAAGAGGACTTAAAAGCAGGCTGTCCATTAGGGTGCCGTTTGATCCTATCGTATAAAATATCAAGAAAAACGACCAAGGTACTATCCAACCACTTTGCATCTTCGTCATGCGTATTCCGTAAATTACTCATCTACAATTTTCATTAATTATTCAATTTCCATTAAAACCTTGTTTAAAATCAAAACCTCATTTAAAATCAGAACATTACCATTGAGCTAACATCAGAACCTCATTTTGAGGTTCTAAAATCAGAACCTCAAAATGAGGTTCTAAAATCAGAACCTCAAAATGAGGTTCTACAAGCAGAACCTCATTTTGAGGTTCTCAAAACAGAACCTCAAAATGAGGTTCTGCTGGAACCTCAAAATGAGGTTCTACAATTAGAACCTCATTTTGAGGTTCTAAAATCAGAACCTCAAAATGAGGTTCCAGTTCTGCTGGAACCTCATTTTGAGGTTCTATAATCAGAACCTCATTTTGAGGTTCTCAAATCAGAACCTCAAAATGGGGTTCTGTAAGTAATAGAGAAATTAGATATGAGATAACATTCATCAAAATAAATAAAAATAGGTTTAGATAATTACTTGTGGACTTGGACAAGATCCTACAGAAGATTTTGGAGAGTCCGTGTTGAGTTGTTGAGATGCAAGGTTCACCAAAGACGGTAGAGTCACCGGAGTTCTTGTGCGGCTTGTCGGAGTGCTGCTACGCTCCTCTTTGCTGTACGTGAAGGAAGGCTGCTACGCGAACGATTGGTAAAAGGAAAGAAGGCTAATGGGAAGAAAAAGGACTGGAGACGAGGGGAAAAGAAAGAAAGAAGGCGAAGGAGATGATGGGAAGGGGAGGGAGGCGATAGACTACAGTCAGTCCAGGGAGAGAAGAAAAGAAAGAAGAGAAGGACTAACCCTAGAAGGAGTAATAAAAAATTGTCGTAAGCTAGATTCGAACCAACGACCTTACTTAATTTTACTGTTCACCCGCGTTTTATTCCATCCTTCCATTTAGAGAATGTTGTTTTCCATTTCTCCAAAATTGTATAAGAAATGGAAGAATGGAGATGAGATTGAAATTGGAAGAATAGATTTAGTAAACAAGTTCTCCAATTCTCCTTTCTCCACTTCTCCAATTCTCCATTTTTTTGGAGAATTCTCCATTTTTCCAAGTTAGTAAACGCCCCCTTATGGTTTCATTATTAGATAGAAAAAGTCACATTTTTAAGGGTTTATTATGCTAGGAACATGTATATTTATGATACGGATTTTTGAATAATAGTTTAAGTGTTGCAGGGAAATTATGTATCTTTCATATGCATGTTATTTTAAGATTTTTTTCTTTGTTTTTACATTCCATTCCTTCTCGTGCCAGGCACATATATGGTTTCTCTCTTAAAGATTTTGAATGGCGCACTGTTTAAATAAAATGATAAATGATGGGGAGTGGAGAAAACTTGACTTGCTTCTCTGTTTGCAGTAGTTCAGTTATGGCAGAGTTTGTTTTGAGAGCCAATTCTTTTGCTTTCAGAGTCTTTGAGTCCACATATGTAGGCAGGAGATCAATTGTTAAGGAACGGTTTCCAAAGAAGTAGTACAGACATCCGTCTTTGGACTCGAAGCTTACTCTTAAGAGCTTGAATGCGGTTGGTCTCTCTAATGGTTCTGTTTCCTTATATAATTGTTTGAAGCGAACTTGTTTCCCTAACCAATCTGGAATTTTGTAACAGGAGGCTAGATGCCTAGATGTATGACGAAAGCTAGACGACTAGGTGTTGCTACCCAGTGCTTTATGCTGTTGATCCCATATTGCATTCTGTGACTTGAAAGGGGAAAGCTACTTGGATTGCCTACCCGGTGAGGGCTTTAATGATTTATTTTTCTTGTCTTCTTTTATTCTTGACTCTGTTATGTTTTTGCAAGTAAAATTTTTAGCACAAGCCAGAGTATACTGTTCCTAAGGTCTTCAACCTGGCCAGAGTTGTTAATTATGTTATCTGACACAATTTTTATCTAATAAGGAAAAGACTACTCCTACTCCCAAAATTTTCTCCCTTACACAAAATTATGATGTTGACATTTTCATTGGGACCCATATGATGAAGATAACTAATCATAAATTGCCACATCAGGGAGTAAAAATAGGGAGGACATGTAATAGAACTCATCTAATAATATATAGCCATATTAATTTGTCAATCTAAATTTTGCCAGTAAATGTAAAACTTCCAATTATGATTAGCTTCGCAATTTGATGGTTGCCTATGGTGAACTGGTTTTAGCAAGTATTATAGCAGAATGTGCATTGCTTCGTACTTCTTCCTCTGAATACTTAGAAATCATTTTACAGGACATATACTACTTGAATGCTGATGGTGCACTGTTTGATGCTGCATTACTTTCAGCAGTTGCTGCTTTTTCATATTGTGAGTGTTGTGACTTCACACTTCTCTTTCCTTTGTTTCTGGTAGATAGAGTGCAGTGAGCTGTCTGTCCATATAAGTGTTCTATTTACATCCCATCAGCCATAGTCCTTGTTAAGTCTGAAAAATAATTTGCCAACTCATACAAACAGTGAATTCTGTAAAACTATCCAGGCCAAGAGTAACATTGAAGTGAGATAGAAGAATACACACCGTGTGATGACAATCCTGAGTAATTCACCCAAGGTTTAAAAAGGCTGAGGTGTGCCTTGAGGCGTTTTGTAATGCTTTAGGCGTAAGACTCAATTTTTATAAAAAATATGAACACTGTTCATAAAATACACCACAATCCAAGATTAAAGTTTCATAAGCTAAAAGTCTCAAGCAAACACACCACAAAACATCAAACATAATATAAGTCTAAAACAAACAAACACAAAACGATCCAAGATTAAAGTTTTAACAAAACGTAATACAAGTCTAAAATAAACAAACACATCATAAATCAAATGAAGCCTCATCCGATTGGATTTTGAAAACATGGTATGCAATGCTCTAATCAGTGCATACTCAAACTGTGGAAGCATTGAGGATGGCGGAAAAGGTGTTTGATGGTTTTGACAGTTGTCGAGATTTGATCACTTGGAATTCAATGTTAGCAGCTTACATAGAATATGATCAACGGGTGGAGGCCTACTGGTTTAGACGCTATAGTTAATTTTCTGTTAAATTTTGTAATTTAAGGGTTCAGGTAATATTATTTAAAAAATAAAATACTATAGGCGTGTGTACCTACTGTTTATAGACACTATAGTTAATTTTTTTTTTTTTCTTTAAAAACAATAAATGGAATAGGCGTTTGTACCACTTTGGTACAAATGCCTATTGTATGTTTTTTACTTTTATTTGTTTTATTATTATTATTATTATTATTATTTTTAATTTGATGATAGGTGTCCGTAGTAGCTTATTATCAACGCCTATTGTCAATTTTTTAAAAAAATTACTTTATGCGTCTGTCAACTACATACGCATAAAGTGGACACTTTTTGCGTCTATGCCATATGCGTCTGACTCATTTTGTAGTAGTGTGAAATGAATAGCATCAATGTTTAAACAGAGATTATGGGGTTGCGTAACTAATTCTTTGTTGTGTTAGTGCAGCATGCAATGACCCAAGTTCTTCAGCACTCTTCTCGTCTCATGAACAAGGCCACTGAAATCTCTCACTGAAACTTCGATGGCCTATGTATCAAAAGCTGCAGTTGCCCATTGTCAAACAATCAAATCAGCGCAAATTAGATGCACCTACACAGCCAATAACCTGATTAATGCATACACAAGATGCCGAGATTTTGCAGCTGCTCTCAAGCTGTTCGACGAAATGCCCAACAGAGACACTGCTTCTTGGAACACTGTGATTGCAGGCTACGTAAACTCTCGGAATTTCCAGAGTGCATGGGATTTCTTGAAATCCATGAAGCAGCATGGTTTCCTATTCGACGGCTACACCTTTGGGAGCATACTTAAAGGTGTTGCCACTAATGGTTTCCTGTCTTTTGGGCAACTGGTGCATTCAGATATTGTTAAGATGGGGTACGATGGAAATGTTTATTCCGCGAGTGCTCTGGTAGATATGTACACCAAGTGTGGCAGAATGGAGGATGCAAACAAAGTTTTCTGTCATATGCCTGAGCGTAACACTGTTTCGTGGAATGCTTTAATAGCGGGGTATGCAGAGATTGGTAACTGCAGGAGTTGTGTTCGGTTGCTGGAAGAAATGGAGAGAGAATGTGTGGTATTGGATGATGGCACATTCTGCCCTCTTTTGACATTGCTAGATGATCCGGAGTTTTTCGGGCTTGCAATGCAGCTTCATGCGAAAATTCTAAAACGTGGATTGGATTTTGAAAACATGGTATGCAATGCTCTAATCAGTGCATACTCAAACTGTGGAAGCATTGAGGATTCGGAAAAGGTGTTTGATGGTTCTGACAGGTGTCGAGATTTGATCACTTGGAATTCAATGTTAGCAGCTTATATAGAATATGATCAAGGGATGGAGGCCTTCCGGCTATTCTTGGATATGGAAAGGCTCGGTTTGGTGCCAGATATATATACTTTTACTAGCATAATAAGTGCTTGTTACGAAATTACTGAAAAAAGGCAGGGAAAATGTTTGCATGCTTTGGTTATTAAGAGGGGATTGGAAAACGTAACAAGCATAGCTAATGCATTGATTGCCATGTACCTTAAATCCAATGGCAGTTGCATGGACGATGCGATGAGCGTTTTTGAATTCTTGGACGTGAAAGATTCTATTTCTTGGAATACAATTTTAACGGGATTGTCTCAAAATGCTTTGAGTGAAATTTCCTTCAAGATTTTCGAGGAAATGAGGTCCCAACAACTCGAGATGGATCATTATGCCTTTGCTGCTGTCCTTCGATCTTGCTCAGATTTGGCATCGTTTCGGCTGGGACAACAAACTCATGCCTTGACACTGAAGACGGGAGTCAACGTATACGAATATGTGACGAGTGCTTTGATATTTATGTATTCCAAGTGTGGACACATCGAAGATGCTTGGAAGTCCTTCGAGGAATCACCAAAAGAAAT